GTATTAAGTTCTGTAAAATGTTATAACCTGTGTAGGGTCCTATATCCACAACAGTAAAGGACATAAACAGCTCCAATACCAAAAGGTCCTTGGTATTGCCCTTTTATGACTACACCCATGTCACTCCTTTCACCTCTTCCACTTAGTCCCTACCATTTGGCAACCACTAAATCTGTCTTCCATTACTAAACTTTTGACACTTCTAAAATGTTATATAAATGAAACCACACAGAATATAAGCTTTTGGACTGGATTTTTTTTCCCCACTATAACCTAGCAACTCATCCATGTTGTTGTATGTATCAACAGTTTGCTCCTGCTGCCTAGCCGTATTCTATAATATAGAAGTACCATAGTTTAACTCTATACCTGTTGAAGGACATTTGAATTATTTCCAGTTTTTGGCTATTATGAATTAAGCTGCTATGAACATTTGTGCATAGATATTAAAATGCCTATATGGAATTAGCTACCACAAACTGGGGGCTAGGAGTGCTTATTGAGTCCATCATTGTTTCTAAGGGCTTTTCAGTGGAATTAGGATATGCTTTAAAAAAAAATCCTCACCAAAAAAAAAAAAAATCCTCACTTGAGGGTATGTTCATTGATTTTATTTTTAAACATGATAAACTCATTTTTTAAAGTATTTTTTTATGGATTTCAGAGAGGAAGGGAGAGGGAGAGATAGATAGAAACATCAATGATGAGAGAGAATCATTGATTGGCTGCCTCCTACATGCCCCCAACTGGGGACTGAGCCTGCAACCGGGCATGTGCCCTTGACCGGAACTGAACCCGGGACCCTTCAGTCCACAAGCCTACACTCTATCCATTGAGCCAAACCAGCTAGGGCTGTTCATTGATTTCAGAGAAAGAGGAGGAGAGAGAAACATCCATGGGCTGCCTGCTGTACACACCTTGACTGGGAGTTGAACCTGAACCTTAGGTATGTGTCCTAACTGGGAATCAAACCCACAACCTTTTGGTGCATGGGACGATTCTCCAACCAATTGAGCCACGCTGTCAGGGCAGGACATGCTTTTTATTTTTATTTTTTTATTTCAGTGAGGAAGGGAGAGGGAGAGATAGAAATATCAATGATGAGAGAGAAGCATTGATCGGCTGCCTCCTGCATGCCCACTACTGGGCATTGAGCCCACAACCCAGGCATGTGCCCTTGACTGGAATCGAACCTGGGACTTTTCACTCCTTAGGCTGACACTCTATCCATTGAGCCAAACTGGCTAGGGCAGGATATGCTTTTTAATTTAAGCTAAAATATGCCATGACTTCATACAGTTACTTCCTAATTAAATCAAGACTACAGGGAATTTGCATAAATCACTGATTTTAGATTTGCATCTTTTTTCCTGTTATAATACAAATCTACATAATTATTTCTTCCCTTTTTTTATTATGGTAAAATGTGCATAAAATTTAACATCTTAACCATTTTTAAGTATACATTTGTGTTATTAAATATATTCATAATGTTGTATAACTATCACCACAATCCATCTCCATAACTTTTTTTTAAATCCTCACTCGATATTTTTCCATTGATTTTTAGAGAGAGTGAAAGAGAGAAGGAAAGACAGAGAGAAGGAAAGACAGAAAGAAATATTGATTGCACACACCCTGACCATGGCCAGGCTGGGGAAGAGCCTGCAACCCAGTACGTGCCCTTGACTGGAATTGAACCAGGGACCGTTAGGTCCACAGGTCAATGCTCTATCCACTGTACCAAACTGGCTAAGGCTCCATAACTCTTTTCATCTTGTAAAATTGAAACTCTATACCAGCAATTTTCAACTAATATGCCACAATAATTTTTAAAATATGCAATACCTACTTAGTCTGGGGCACTGACCTCTTTTCCCTTATATTGTCAAATTAAAAGAAATGACAATAGCTGTCCAATGTGAGTGAATCAAAATTATACCTACTTTTTTCTCAGACTGGCAAAAAATATATATTTTGGCATGCTGCAGAATTTTAGTAATTAACTTGGGTGTCATGAGATGAAAAATGTTGAAAATCACTGCTCTATACTCATTAAATAACTTCCCATTTCTCCCTCTTCCTCCCCATCCCTTGGTAACCACCATTCTACTGTCTGTCTTTATGGTTTTAACTAGTCTAAATACCTTATAAAAGGTATTTAGTTGTCTTTTTTTGACATTCAATATTATTTTATATTAGTCTCAGGTGTACAGCATAGTAGTTGATTATATATTTATGAAGTGATCCCAACATAATTGTTTTAGCCTACACACTTTCACCTATTCTCCACAATATGACTACTGAATACAATTTAAGATTTTATGGCAGTTTTTTGTTGTTAATCCTCACCCAAGGATATTTTTCCATTGATCTTCTAGAGTGGAAGAGACAGGGAAAGACAGAGAAACATTGATGTGAAAGAAACACATTGTTTGGTTGCCTCCTGCATGGGCCCTGACCAGGGCCTGAGATGGGGGAAGCCTGCAACTAAAGGATGTGCCCTTGACCAGAATAGAAAATGGGACCCTTTGTTCCGCAGGCCAACACTCTATCCACTGAGCCAGTGATGGCGAACCTTTTGAGCTCGGCATGTCAGCATTTTGAAAAACCCTAACTTAACTCTGGTGCCGTGTCACATGTAGAAATTTTTTGATCTTTGCAACCATAGTAAAATAAAGACTTATATTTTTGATATTTATTTTATATATTTAAATGCCATTTAACAAAGAGAAATCAACCAAAAAAATGAGTTTGCGTGTCACCTCTCACAAGCGTGTCATAGGTTCGCCATCACTGCACTGAGCCAAGCCGGCTAGGGCTGGCAGTTAATTTTGTCTTTTAGGTAGATCTTCGGATGTATAGTTAAATCAGTGTGTTCTGAAGTCATTCAGTTCCCTTCTGTGCAGTTAGGCCACCAACTAGATATACATTTAGGTTCATTTGTTCCTTTTACTTTTGACTTTCAGGGATTGATTTTTTAAAAATTAATTTTTATCATACAATCATGTAAAACATAGATTTCTGAAGTCAAATGCACAAAACAAAGTATATTCAAAAGTCTTGCTTTTTCCCTTCATTCTATTCTCTCCTTTCCAAGCTAAATAACCATTAAAAATTTTAAATGTATACTTCCACTTTAAAAAAATGTAAGTATTCATTTATTTACATTTGTACCTCCCTACTTCCTCTTACAAATAAAGAGTAGAGGGAGCCCTAGCTGGTTTGGCCTGCGGACTGGAGGGTCCCAGGTTTGATTCTGGTTAAGGGCACATGCCTGGGTTGCAGGCTTGATCCCCAGTGGGGTGTGCAGGAGGCAGCCAATCAATGATTCTCTTTCATCATTGATGTTTCTGTCTCTCCCTCTCCTTTCCTTTCTGAAACCAATAAAAATATATTTTTAAAAAGAGTAGAGGAAATGGGCATACTTTCTTATTCCCAACTTTAACAGGTAAGCCCTTGGTGTTACGCCATTGAGATCCTCAAAAACTTTTTTTTTTGTAAAATGAAGGCAACACTATCCATTCTATCTGATCTTCCACACCATTTCTTGGGAAGATGAAGGATGTGAAAAGTGGTACAAAAACATACCTGTTTACTTATATTGAACCATTTTTGGGAGAACCTTGAGTCCTGGATCCAATTTAGTACGTTTAACACAAGAACAAACAGAGGCTCACCGAGTCCAGAGGCCCTGCCCAAGGTACGCAGGGACTAAGCGAGAGCTCCAGTCATCTGCCTTGCAGCCCAGGGGTCCGATACATCCACCAAGCTCTTCTTTTTTAAAACTGTACTCAAGCCTTCTCTCTCTTTCTCCACCACCGAGGTGCGTGCAGTTCGCTTCTCCTTTGCCATGTCTTCCCACAGGGCTTTCAGATCAAGAGGTTCCTGGCCAAGAAACAAAAGCAGAATCGGCCCATTCCCCAAAGGAGTCTGATGAAAACTAGTAATAAAATCAGGTACAACTTGAGGAGGAGACAGTGGAGAAGAACCAAACTGGGTCTATGAGGAATCACACATGAGATGGCTCACATATTTATGCTGTATCCAGGTTGCCTGCACCCTTAAAAGATTGAAAAGATCACTACTGTCTGGACAGTTGGGCATTTTAATTGGGAAATTATTGGACTCATGATTTTGCTCTGTTGATTTTATTTTCTGCAGTAGGTTGCTTCAGTAATAAACGTGAGACCTTTTAAACTGCAAAAAAATAAAAACTGTACTCCACATATAAATACTTATTTTTATAGAAAGGAGTATTTTAGGAGACCCTCAAAAAAGGAAAAAGCCTCAAGGCTGAGTGAGGCAGCTGATGCTCAAACAACCACTAGCGCCCGGAGTGCCAGGCGGGAGCGGGCGGCTGGTGGGCCAGCGCTGCCCTCACTCAACTGGCAGCTCCGGCCCCAGCGCGGAGGCGACGGGGAACCTGGAGACGCAGTGACGGCGCCGCGTAGGGGGCCCAATGCGAGGACGCTGGGCAGTGGAGTTAAAGCTGCCCCACTGGCACCCCGACAGGAGGGCTGACATACTCCGGACTCCAGGGGAAGAGTCCGTCGGGAAAGGGGGCCATGTCGGAGCTTCCGAAAGGAGAAATGGTACTGATGAGGATCCGTAAGGCTTCCGCGGCTCCGGCTCTAACATCCCGGCCTAGGGGCGGGGCGGGGCGGGGCGAGCGGGGCAGAGATCGGCCCGCAGGGGCCGTCGGGAAATCGGGGGAGGAGCAACAAGGATGACGCTGGGGAGCGTAACAGGGCGGGGCGAGGGCTTGCCTCCCCGCCCGCCTGGGTCGGGCTAACGGCTTCCGGTCGCGATGTCTGGGAGGGGCCGGGGGGAGGCGGTGCCCCGCAGGCGCTCCAAGATGATGGGCTGCGAGGAATCAGAGATGAAGGCGGGGGAAGGGGAGGCGG